GTGTGGACCGGCTTAGCATGAGCTGTCACAGTAGTGTTAGTGAAAGCGTGTGTGTATTGTATTGAGAGGTGGAGTGAGTGTGAGTGGAGTATAGGCTGTGTGTGACTGACAGACACTCTCTATAGTGAGAGCCGTAATGAAAGTCATGTCTAACGCCTGATCTCTGGCCACGTCGTCACCACTAATACAGCGATTGCTTCACAGATATTGTTTGCAAACACTTCCAACCCATTCATACCATCCATTGCCTCCACTTGTCATCGCATTTGACACGAGTTTTGCCGCAAAAGCAGTGATTAGTGTTTGATTAGACGAGTTGTACGCATAGCTAAGCCATGAATATTTTCCGACTGACGGGTGATTTGTCACATCTCTTAGCCATCATTATATTAGTGCTGAAGATATGGAAGACCAGGTCCTGCGCCGGTATGTCATTGATTGCCATTCGCATGAACCGATCCACTCATTGATGGACTAATTGTTTGACTAATTACAGGCATATCCGGAAAGAGTCAGATATTGTTTGCATTGGTTTACTTCACCAGATATTTAGACTTATTTACAAATTATATCTCTCTTTACAACTCGTTTATGAAGGTATGAGACATCACCTCATTGTCCACTCCATCCGTTTAATGCATGTGTTGTGTCCAACAGATAGTATTCATCGGCGCCTCGTTGGCCACCCTTTACCTAATGTACATGAAATTCAAAGCCACTTACGACCGAAATCACGACACCTTTAGAATTGAATTCCTCTTGATTCCGGTCACCCTTTTAGGTCTTTTAGTCAATCACGAGTTCACACCTCTGGAGGTAAGCCATGCGAGCAGTGGTGCCACTGTTGTGTTGAATAGATTGGTGACACCGTTCTTGTTGTGCAGGTGTTGTGGACGTTCTCCATATATCTGGAATCGGTGGCCATTTTGCCGCAACTCTTCTTAGTATCGAAGACGGGCGAAGCCGAGACCATAACATCTCATTATCTGATGGCTTTGGGGTCATACCGGGCACTGTATCTCATTAACTGGATTTGGCGCTACTATTTCGAGGGCTTCTACGACCTGATCGCCATTGTGGCCGGAATTGTCCAAACAGTCCTCTACTGCGACTTCTTCTACCTGTACATCACTCGAGGTTTGTGTCCATATATGTGATGATTAGCACAACATTACCATTACTGACAAACGTATGCCTTTTGACAGTCATTCGGGGCCGCGCTCTAAGACTACCGGCCTAAGTGTAGGTGCGTTCAGATATTGGCAAACAAACGCCACGGCAATACCGATACCCCATAACTAATCGCACTTTATTTCAAATATCTATTAATTGTTATGACAAAAATTGTTCAAAAGTGCCTCATTTTAATCGGCATTTTGCGACTTTTAAACTCATTAATAAATTTCTGTATTTATTTCGATTTAAAAATAAGTTATGGATTTCGATATCTATTTAACAACACATTGTTTGCTATATTTTTGTATATAAAAAAATCTTATTTATCAAAGTTTAGGTTTTTCTCATATTAACCAAAGTTTTTAGTTTAATATCATTCGATATAAAATTCTTTGTGAATTCAGATTTTATTTAAAAACTAAATTATAGACATTTTTTTATCTTGAATATTGGAATAACTTTTATGATATATTTATAAAAAGCATAAAAAATGTAAAATTTTATTGAAAATTACTTTCTTTGAAAGAATTATTTTATAAATGGATAAAACAGTTGAAAAAAATGCGAAACCATTTGACACACAATATAAGAAAATTGACTAAAATAATGATTTATATAAACAAAAAAGTGATTATTAAAATGCAATCCAATTCAAAGACTTAACGCTTTGCACCGCTTTTAGTATTAGAGCTGAGTTTGTGGTGCATTAGACGGTCCACGATATCACATGCGTAGCGAACTCTCGTGAAGACCTAATCGGCATTTTGCGACTTTTAAACTCATTAATAAATTTCTGTATTTATTTCGATTTAAAAATAAGTTATGGATTTCGATATCTATTTAACAACACATTGTTTGCTATATTTTTGTATATAAAAAAACTTATTTATCAACGTTTAGGTTTTTCTCATATTAACCAAAGTTTTTAGTTTAATATCATTCAATCGATATAAAATTCTTTGTTTAATTCAGATTTTATTTAAAAACTAAATTATAGACATTTTTTATCTTGAATATTGGAATAACTTTTATGATATATTTATAAAAAGCATAAAAAATGTAAAATTTTATTGAAAATTACTTTCTTTGAAAGAATTATTTTATAAATGGATAAAACAGTGGAAAAAATGCGAAACCATTTGACACACAATATAAGAAAATTGACTAAAATAATGATTTATATAAACAAAAGAGTGATTATTAAAATGCAATCCAATTCAAAGACTTAACGCTTTGCACCGCTTTTAGTATTAGAGCTGAGTTTGTGGTGCATTAGACGGTCCACGATATCACATGCGTAGCGAACTCTCGTGAAGACCTCTTTACTGCAGCCATACTTTTCAATGAGACTGAACTTATAGGTCTTGAAGTCGCGCTTATCGTTGACATAAGTGACGGCTCCCATCAGCGGACATAGGATTAGTTTAGTGTGATCTTGAAAGAAGTTGATCTGTGAATGCAATGGCATATCAAGACATTAGAGATAATCATATAAACCAATAGATTATGAGCCAAAATACCTGAACGGTTCCATTAGTTAAGTGGAAGACAATGGCATTTCTGGTTCGGAACCAATTGTTAAGATACGGAAGTCGTACCAAATCGTCGCCGTCTCGAGGCTTAGGTTTATCTCCAGTCTTGAGGAGGTGTTCGTTCATATAGTTTCGGAAGTATTTCAAAAGCGTTAACTTCTTGTAGAGCTCGTGAGGACAGGCATTGAACTTAAGATAGCGTTCGCCGCCATCCCTCTCGATGTAATGCATATTAGTCTCGTCAGACATGAGCATAATTTTAGTGATATCGTTGAACAGAACGCCGACACTGTTGTCACACAACTGGTATCCGATGCCGTATTTGTCGGTATAGTCGACCCATTTTGAGATCCAGAAGATGGGCGACGACGCGGGGTCTTCGGCCTCGTCTTCCAACACATGCGGCAGTTCTGACGGCTTTTGATTCAGCAGATGATGCAATTGATTACTCAAATCTCGCAGATAGTAGTCTTTGGGAATGGCTTCCGGATTAGTCTTTGTTCGCGTGACAGCGTCTTCAGTCTTAAGCGCCATCTTTTCCGGCGATTTCAGTCCATTGTTAGCCATTTCTCCCAATGGTTTTCGGGGCGAAAACTTGCCGGCAGTCGGGTCCGGAAGTATGGAAAGCCTTCCATCAAAACGCGGCGCAACTGTTAGACACGAGACCGGAAGTCGTGACGGAATGTAATTGCGGTTCATATACGGGTCCTCTAAGACCTCGCGCATTGACGGCCGTCTCTTAGGGTCCGACTGAAGAAGTTTTGTGATGAAAGCCGACACATCTGAGCCCACATATGAGGGAATCTTATACTCGTTAGACTTAATCCGTTTGTAGGTATCCTTGAGGTCATTGGTCTCGAAGGGAGGTTTGCCGACAACCAGTGTATATACAATACAACCCAATGACCACACGTCCACTTCATAGCTGTGACCCTTTTTGAACAGCACTTCCGGCGCGATATAGTTAGGCGTTCCGCAAAGAGTGAGTTTGCGGTCGCCTTCGCACGCGATTTTTGTGGCCAAACCGAAGTCTCCGACTTTGATCTCCATATTGTCGTTGAGGAACAGATTGCCTAACTTGAGGTCCCGGTGCACTATGCGGTTGTCGTGCAGGTACTTGCAGGCCAGCGCTATCTGCTTCACGTAATACCGCACCTCAGACTCCGCCAGAGTTTTGCGCCGTTTATGCATTTCCATCAAAGACTGCAAACATAGCATTAATACCATTCATTAGCACTGCTAAGAGAGACCAGTCGCTCAAACACTGACCCGTTTGCTGCACAGCTCCAGAACTATGTATATGAAGTCCTTGTCCTCGAAGAATGTCATGAACTCCACCACATGATTGTGTTTAATCGAGCGGTGGATTGCGATCTCTTGAGTCATCTAATGGTGTCAAACGGTTATCAATGATAGCATTGATAGCAATCATATTCCGTTTGTAGGTATCCTTGAGGTCATTGGTCTCGAAGGGAGGTTTGCCGACAACCAGTGTATATACAATACAACCCAATGACCACACGTCCACTTCATAGCTGTGACCCTTTTTGAACAGCACTTCAGGCGCGATATAGTTAGGCGTTCCGCAGAGAGTGAGTTTGCGGTCGCCTTCGCACGCGATTTTTGTGGCCAAACCGAAGTCTCCGACTTTGATCTCCATATTGTCGTTGAGAAACAGATTGCCTAACTTGAGGTCCCGGTGCACTATGCGGTTGTCGTGCAGGTACTTGCAGGCCAGGGCTATCTGCTTCACGTAATACCGCACCTCAGACTCCGCCAGAGTTTTGCGCCGTTTATGCATTTCCATCAAAGACTGCAAACATAGCATTCATGCCATTCATTAGCACTGCTAAGAGAGACCAGTCGTCGCTCAAACACTCACCCGTTTGCTGCACAGCTCCAGAACTATGTATATGAAATCCTTGTCCTCGAAGAATGTCATGAACTCCACCACATGATTGTGTTTAATCGAGCGGTGGATTGCGATCTCTTGAGTCATCTAATGGTGTCAAACGGTTATCAATGATAGCATTGATAGCAATCATA